CTGCACTCCCTGTATGGCATAGAAACTGAACATTTAACAGTGTTTCCTGAAAACTCTATTCTGTCTGATCAATTTTAATCATTAAAACTTACAATTATCCCCACACGGCAGTGGGGAATGCATGTCATTACAGGAGATGACTTTCTGAAACTGCTGTAACTAAGTTTAAGACTATACTTCTACAACTGCATCCCAGACCCCGACCAGACGGCCAACTCCTCCTCCCGGTCCCCTGCTCCAGACGGCAAACAGAGAACAGGTCTGAGAAGACCCCATACCTCACTCCGCCTGCTCATATGTGGTGTTGCTGCGTGCTGTTTAAAACATGGGAGCAGCCAATCAAAGAAGCCCAGAGGGATTGACCTAATGTGGTGGGAGAGGCTGTATCAAGAATAATGTGATCTATCAGACAGTCTCTATATTGGTTAGAATGAAGATTATTTTTAGTTTATGTTCATGAGGACACACTCTAAAAACTAAAAGTGACATTTAATTAAAATTTTTGAGGGAACACTTTTACACTTAAAAATATTGAGTAGATTGGAAACCAGCCAAATCTGTTCAATATACTTGATCAATTAAATAACTAAAGCTTAAACATATTAAGTTGAAATGAATAATTGTAGTTGTTAAACAAACATGAAAAAATTGAGTAAATAACACTGACATGCTTGGTCAATGTAACTGAAATATAGATGGTCAGTTAATCCAAAATTTTGTTCCATCTACTTAATACTGTAAACTGAATGTAATCAAAATTGTACATCATATTAAGTATGGTAAATGGCCTGTATTTGTATAGCGCTTTACTTAGTCCCTAAGGACCCCAAAGCACTTTACATATCCAGTCATCCACCCATCCACACACATTCACATTCACACACTGGTGATGGCAGCTACATTGTAGCCACCCTGGGGCGCACTGACAGAGGCGAGGCTGCTGGACACTGGCGCCACCGGGCCCTCTGACCACCACCAGTAGGCAGTAGGCGATCGAGACTGTTGGTGCCAGGGCTCGAACCAGCAATCTTCCGATCACAAGACGAACTGCCAATTCTTGAGCCACGATCACACGAATAAATCCTTTACAAATCCTACCATGTGGATTCATGGATTTTTTTTTCACATTCTGTCTCTCACAGTTGAAGTGTACCTCTGGTGCAAATTACTGACCTCTGTCATCATTTTAAGTGGGGGAACTTGCACAATCGGTGGCTGACTAAATACTTTTTTGCCCCACTGTATGCTCCAAGTATTTAATTCCTTTACCACTCCAGTCTGGGAAGTTTATCATATTAGTGTTTTGTAATATGTCAAGGTTGTTCCAGATAGGTGTACGTTTGCATGGGATTAATGAAGTCATTTTTAGAAACTCCCACCATGCTGTCAGAGAAGTGCTGATGTTGATGCTTTTAAAGCATTCATGTCGTTGGATGTTTGAGCTGATAAATGGTAGGTCTGAGATCTCTAGATTATTGCAAAGTGCTTGTTCTACATCTAGCCAAGGTTCATCTAAGAGGGTGTGTTTTAGCCATCCTGAGATAAACTGAGGCCTGTTGGCTAAGAAGTAGTGCTGAAAGTTAGGCAGCTCTAGTCCTCCTTTATCCTTGGTCTTTTGTAGTGTTAAAAACACTACAAAGGATAAACCCTCGCGTATAAGCTCAAAAAGCTTATACGCGAGGGTTTATCCTTCCAAAGGAATTTAGAAATAGATGATTCCAGAGATCTGAACCAGTCTGGTGACGGTTTACTCGGGATCACTGAAAATAAATAATTGATGTTTGGCAAGACCATCATTTTTATTGTTACACACTGTTTATTCAACAATGAAAAATACAGTTCAGTGTGATTAGAAATAATATTAATGAAAACTTTCTGTTCTGAACAATTTCAGAAAATCACTTTGGATGAATTAGACGGATAGATTAGACTGTGGAGCTTTTGTTCAGAGTAGTAATCCCTTTTAAATTGAATGTAACATTTTCAGAGCCAAATTTGCCACTTAACCCATTTCACAGAGGTAAATAATTGCATTAAAAATAGTGGAAAAGCTCAAGGTCTTTGCTAAATCATCACTCTGGTTAGTGCAAATGGATGCAAATGCACATTGATTGTTTTATTCTATCATTCTTATGTGATTTCTCTTTTCCTGCTTCACTCATAGGCTCAGCAGCACGCTTAATAAAATTTTTTAAATAAGGTGGAGTAGGGTCTCTCATCCATTCTCTCCCTCAAGGGGTCAGAATATTAATCAGAATTTGAGTCATAGGCTACCAGCAGTCCTGTTTTTGAATTTTGGTCTCTTTAGTTAAGTTTGCTGATATTATTTTTGAGGAGAGCACGACTCTGAAGCCCATTTGGATCAGATCTTCATCTTTTGTTTGTTTTTGCTCTGGTTTTCACCCTCTTTTTTGTTTTCAATCTATTTGAGGAATTCTTTTTTGTAATATTAAAAGTTCCTTTATCTGCAGTAGCACTGTGGCATCTTAGGTTCCATTGAGACATACATTAAGACACTAACACTAAGACAATTTAACACGATGCTCTTGTTTAGGTCTGTGTTCATTATTCCCGGCTTTTCATCATTGCAGGGTGCTACCCTGTGTAGGAAAACAAAGACAGAGAGTGAGTTTCCCTCTGATGGAAAACATAAAACATAAAATGTAGGACATGGAGGTCAGGCTTGATGATATTTTTCCCTGCTCTCAGTCGCCAGATGAAACAGCAGAGATGATTTATGGTGGCTGGCTGGCTGGAAGCAGCGCAGGGAGCAGTGTTTTCACTGGCCCCAGCAGACACAGCTAAAATTGGGTTACTCACAAAATGTAGGGTCTGTCTCAGGCTAATAAATTTAATCATGGCCTTCTTCCCTGCAGGTTGTTTTAATACTGTCGGATTACAGAGGTCTCTCATCTCTCCCTGTCTCTTTATGGCAGACACAAATGTAGTCCTGTCAATATGGCTGCAGCACAAACATGTAGGATTCTCAGAGGAGAGTCGAGATTGTTTGTTTCTCTGACCAGCTTTAAACATAAATTAAGCTCAGACTACAATTTTATACCGATTGCTTGAACAATTTTCTAGTTTTCTAGAAAGCTTCAGTCTGACTAGCTCAAGACCAAACCATTTAAAAATATTTACCAAGACATATTTTAAAAGCTCTGTTTCTAAAACATGTTACTGATGATGCAACATACCGAAAGTCCCCTCCTCTCCTGGAAGAGCATAATTGGAATCTGACTGCAAGGACTTGCTCTCTTTCAGCCACAAGAGCATTAGTGAGGTTCAGCGTAATATTAGTAGATAAGGTCTGGTTTCTAGCTTACAACTGAACAGCCATTTCATTACATTTTATTTAGCATCACGCCCCATGGTCATGTTAGCTGATTTTAACACTGTCACTGTTCTGGGAAGCAATGTTGTTGGTTAAGTGTCCACATTACATTAAATGAACATCCTGCATGTTTTCAGTACCTGGAAGAAAAAAGATTTCATTAGATGTATGAGACCTAAAAATGTATGTCTGGAGTTAGAGTTCATTACTGTTAGGCCCTGCTGCAGTTTGACCCCTGAATAGAATTTAAAAGAGTGTTAGTCAAGTAGAAGTTTCAGGTATCTGTAACTTTTTACCTTTACTCCTTACAGTTTAACACAAACATCTGCTCTTTCTACTTACATTAAGTTTAACAGCATCATTTATAGTGTCTACACTCAGGAGTTAAAGTGGCTGAAATGTGTGCAGAAGTCTGTAAGTCATGTACTTCAGCATCTAACTACTGTTAGAGAAGAGCGGTGAGCAAAAAAGGAGTAAAGTTTTAAGTGGCAGGCAGTGTTGGGTGTAATGCGTTACTAAGTAACGCGTTACGGTAATTAAATTACTTTTCCACTGAAAAAGTAGAGTAACTAATTACTGTTCATTTTTAGGTATTTTAATTACAGTTACAATGTACTTGCGTTACATTGTAAAATAATTAAACTCGCTGAATATCATTATTTAATTTCCATAATTTGTCTTCTAAACGTAGAAGTAAACTCTGCCGCTTTAACATCGCTGTAGTGCAGCTGCGCGTCATTTTGAAATGGACATATTCCCGTCTCTTCACTTTTCTGAAACAAGCAGACAAGAACATTACAGTAATATGTAAGCTATGTCCTGGGGAGAAAAAACTATCGGCTGCTGTTAATAGCACGAGTAATCTACTGAAGCGCCTGACACAGAGCATAGACGAACATTTCTGAGTGATTCTTGTTCATGATCCATGGATAACACCGCAGCAACTCCTGCTAAGCAGCAAAACCTGATTTTACTTCAGCAGCACAGAAAGCGTCTGAAGGTGAGCTTAAAAAATGATTGCAGGCTACATTGTGGAAGAGATGCTGCCGCTGCGTACTGTAGAGTAGGGCTGGGAATCGTCACTGATTTCTAGAATCGATTCGATTCCGATTCACAAGGTCCCAAATCGATTCGATCCACGATTCGATTCAATTCGATTCGATTCGATTCGATTTTGAATCAGTCCGAAATATTATTATATGAACCATAATATATATAAAATTATGATAATTCACCTTGTATATGTACTGTCAAAAGAACCCTCTAAGCCTTGTGAATGAATTACATAAATTTCAAAATTAAGAACAGATACTAAAGCAGTTAAATAATGTAATTTTTAATTAACATTAGTATATATATTTTTTCATACATACATTTCAAGTGGATCAGGGATCCAGTGCAAATAGAACACATCTTTTGTAAACATCAGTAAAACCTCAGAGAAATAGTTTTGCTGTTAGTGTCTCACACAGCTTTTCTGAAATCCACTATTGTGTTTTGGAGACACACAGTATAACACAGCGTGTACAAGTGAACTGACAGAAACTGACCGATCAGAAAATGAAAAACTGCCTTTTAAAATACTTCAAAAAATGAAAACATATTGAACAGTATTGTAAAACCTCTGTGAAACTAATGCAATTTAGCCTCATTTATAACTACCCTCTCACTTCTTTGAGACTGTAAGGTTTTTCTGCAAGAAGAGAAGCTGGTCTACATGTTGTGGAGTCAGGCAGCTCCTTTGTGCGGTAACAATGTCACCAGCAGTTGAAAACTCTCGTTCAGAAGGAACACTGGTCCCAGGTATGGAAAGATACTGCTTTGCTTGTAGAGCCAAGAGAGGATACTCCCTTTCATGGTCCCTCCACCAGATCAAAGGATCCTCAGAAAGTGCAACAGGCTCAACGCCCCTGTATCGATTCACTTCTTCCTTTGCCTTCTGAGTTGGTGTTTTCTGTGGTGCTGTGGTTTTTGTTGAGTAGGCGGGCCCAAGGAGAAAAATTAATGCAGAGTCCTTTGACCTCTTAATTGGAGGGGCATAATCCACTTCATCAACACCACCAAGAGAGATGTCAGGGACAGTTTCCTCAGATGTGTCACCATCAGACTGTCGCTGTAGAAAAATGAAAACTTAATTAATAAAGAAATTACTATTTATATTCTAACTCGAGTAGTGCAAAAAAACCAATAATTTTTTGTTTTTGTTTCTGTAACTCACAATAGCTGTGTCCACGTTCTCCAAACCTGCTGCTTCCAACACCAACTGAGAGAATGTGTTGTTACAGGTCTCTTTGGACAAGAATGGCAGGGCCTTAAAGCGAGGATCTAATGCTGATGCAATGTACAGCTTGTCCTTTAGGGCCACATATCTTGAAAAGAGATTTTGCACATTTAACTCAGTTTATTATGTTGGATATACATGTGCATGGTTACATACACTCATGCAAGATCAGAAACATTAATATACGACTTTGTTTCCATAATTTATATATAAACATCTATAAATAGATAGATATAAAATCAAAAGGCCTATTACTAGACAAGAGGGCTTAACTAACATTTTTATAATATATAGATTTTTTCACTATAATAAGAATTTTCATGTAATACATGCATCCATACAGTTACACTCATTCATGGCATACACACACAATTCATAAACATACCTTGACTTCAAGTTGTCGTATACAGCAGTCTTGAGGTCTTTAATCAGTGAGGAGTCATGAGAGACACTGATCATCTTCTCCAGCAGCTGTGCATGCAGAGGTGCAATGATGGAAAGGGTCGGGGACTTTTCTTCAGACATAACCAGTGTGGCTGCTTTCAGCGGCTTCAGAGCTTTCACTATATCTTCTCCATCAGTTATGTCAGCCTCTGTAAGACTACAGAGATTACTGTCACTTCTCCTCACTTCAGGTGAGAGTAGAGCTGCAGAGATTGCTGGTTGTTGCTCTAGGAAGCGTTCCAGCATCTCCAATGTGCTGTTCCATCTGGTCACCCCATCAGTCACGAGCTTATGGGCGGGTAGGTTCAGTATCTTTTGCTTCTCTTTAAGCTTGCGATTTGCTATAGTGCTGCGATGAAAAAAGGATGCTATGCGTCTCACTCGGCCAAGCAGCTGCGCAACAGCTGGAACTTTCAGTCCTGCTTGTGAAGCTAAATTGAGTGTGTGGGCAAAACAACCAATGTGCAACCAGCCCGTTATTTCCACAGCTCGCACCATATTTGCAGCATTGTCAGTTACGATGACTGGATTTTTGTTTGTAAGCTCCCATTCTTCGATTGCTTTGAACATAATTTCAGATAAATTAGCTGCTGTGTGGCTTGCTTCGGTGGTTCTTGTCTGTAAGACATGAGACACGAGTCTCCACTCCTGGTCGATATGGTGTGAGGTGATAGTCAGGTAGTTACCTGTTGCTCTGGATGTCCAGCTGTCACAGGTTATAGCGACTCTCTCTGCTGACGTGAGTGAGGCTGTAACATCGTGTTTCACTTTTTCATACATGTTTGGGATTACCACTTCACTCAAATGTTTGCGTGATGGTAAAACATAGCGTGGTTCTAGCGTATTAATGAGGTTTTGGAAGCCATCATTTTCAACAACGCTGTACGGACGTATATCTTTACATATGAAAGTTGCCACAGACTGGGTTATTTTTTGGGCACGTGGAGAAGTGGATTCAAACTTCACTGCAAATGCCTTTTCGAGTGAGCGTTGCTTGGTGTCGGCCGTTTTTGCTAGCAGGATATCTGGATGATGCCTCGTTAAATGATTTCTGAGATTTGTGGTATTTCCACAGTGCTTTACCTCCATTTTGCACATCTTACATACGGCTTTGCTTTTGTCCGGCTCTTCACTGTCTTCACAGTTCTTAAATCCAAAGTGTTGCCAGACATCTGCCTTTAGGCTCGGTGGCACATTCCCGGGAGTAGCCATGATGGTTCATGCGTCCAGGTCACTTAACTCTCGCGTGACTTCCTCATGTTAACCGCTTGCAAATTTCATACGCGGCAAACTACATATGTATAAAAAAAAATCGATTTCCGGATTTAATGAATCGATATCGTTTTATTCCAGTTAGAATCTATTTTAATCGATGAATCGATTTTTTAAACCCACCCCTACTGTAGAGTCTCCGTCTTTAAAAAAAAATTTGTTATTTAAAGAGTTTAATTTCTATTGTTTGCCACTCAAGGTTTATAGGGATTTTAAGAAGTATTTAGTTAAATTACTTATTTGGTGATGGCCAGAGGGGCCGATGGCGTGATATGGCAGCCTCGCTTCTGTCAGTCTGCCCCAGGGCAGCTTTGGCTACACCTGTAGCTGCCTCCACCAGTGTGTGAGAGTGAATGAATAGTGGTATTGTAAAGCGCTTTGGGTGCCTTGAAAAGCGCTATATAAATCCAATCCATTATTATTTAGTAATTAAGTTACTTTTCTGACACAGTAATTAGATAAGTATTTTAAATACAATATTGACTTAGTAATTAGTAATTAGTAATTAATTACTTTTTTAAAGTAACTTACCCAACACTGGTGGTAGGTAATTTCAAATGTTAGATTTTTAATAGCTGAAGAAATGTCAGCAAACACACAAAGTGATCGTATGCAGTGTGTCATTGTTGGGTAAAGGTCCAGCTGTTATAGTTCCCACGGAGAGAAAACAGGGGTAGAGATGTTTAGATGTGGAGATAAATGGTAGAAGAGAGGTTAGATTTAAAGGTAGGGACTGCTCAGTGACACTTGAAAAACTGCAGATTTAAAAATGACCTCTAATGTCATTATTTGTAATAACTTTGTTGGATCTGTATATGATGTGTTTTGATAAATAGTTTTTCACATTGTGAAACTTCATTCAAAACAAACTAATTACATGTATACCAATGTTGTGTTCTTCAAGTGTTGCATGAAAATACTCAACAGTTTTGTGCAAGATAAAGAGGTTATCTTAGAGTACTGTGGTGAATCCACAATAAATATGTGTTTGAAAAACAGAGGGAACAACACATAATTTAGTGATTTATAAGGCTTCAAAAAAGGTTAGCTCCTTGTTTCTCTGGATTGTGACTATAACAGTCTGGACTGACAAAGTGAAGCCTTTCCCTTCTAAAGAGGACAAAATCTCTTTGACCTGTTTGTCTGAGTGATGATGTAAACTGGATCACATCACCATCCAGGTGCTGAAGCCACAGGAAGCTTCTGAATCTGATCGGGACCACAAAAAAGGAGGAGAGCACGTTGATCATCTGTCAGGAGGAAAAAGATACGCTGCAGTGACAACCCAAAGAGACTGGATTGATTTCCAGCTCCCCAGCTCCTCAGACCAGTTAATACACACAGAGGATGGAAAATAACACCTGCATGTGGCCAATATAGCTGTATCTACCACATGAGAGTAAACGCATATATACTCACCACTGTTATGTATCATGGCGCAGCAAACATGCCCATCTCTAGACCCAGCAGTCTTAGTTAATTATAGGCCATTTCGTCACTCATCCAGGTGACGTCTTCAGTCCTCTTTTTGGGATTTCCTTACCTGGTTGATTGAGCATTCATCAAGACGTTTGTATCTAACATTCACACACATTCACACTCCAATGGATGCAACTTAGAGTTAGGGTGTATATATAATTCAGTTTTATTTGTAATTGTATGCATCCTTTTAACAGGAAGAAGCCTCTGGCTCATGGAGGAGCAGCTATTTGCCACAAGGGGAGGAAGAAAGGACGCAGACTCTGTAGAAGAGCCAGAAATGATTAAAAAAAAGTAATGTATAGAGAGTGAAAACAGGTGAGTGAGGAAGGAACTGCCCCCAGAAGACTAGGCCTATTGTAGCATAACTAAGGAAGGGTTCAGGGTCACATGAGCCATTAGCATTTATTAAAAAGAAAAGTTTGAAGCCTAATCTTGAAAGTAGAGATAGTGTCTGTCTCCTGAATCCAAACTGGAAGCTGGTTCCACAGAAGAGGGGCCTGAAAACTGAAGGCTCTGCCTCCCATTCTACTTTTAAATACTCTAGGAACAACAAGTAGGCCTGCAGAGCGAGAGCGAAGTGCTCTAATAGGGTGATATGGTACTACAAGGTCATTAAGATAAGATGGGGCCTGATTATTTAAGACCTTGTATGTGAGCAGCAGGATTTTGAATTCTGGATTTAACAGGAAGCCAAAACAGGAGAAATCTGCTCTCTCTTTCTAGTCCCGGTCAGGACTCTTGCTGCAGCATTTTGGATCAGCTGACGGCTTTTCTGGGAATTTTTTTGATAATGAATTGTAATAGTCCAGCCTGGAAGTAATAAATGCTTGAACTACTTTTTCAACGTCACTCTGAGACTCTGAGATTTTTCTCATTTTAGAGATGGCGCACAAATGGAAGGAAGCTCTCCTACATATTTGATCAATATTCACATCACAGGTCATATCCTTGTCAAAAAGTACTCCAAGATTCCTCACAGTGTTAGTTGAGGACAACCTAATGCTATTCAGTGTAAGTATCTCAGACATATGTCTTCAGGGCATTCCTGCAGTTTAACTAATTGGTCATCACTGGTCATTGCATAGCAATAAAAATGTAAGCTATGTCTGAACAACATATCAGAGCCTGACTTCCTCCTGACTTTGATCCCCATGAATTTGCATACAGACCAAACTGATCAATGGATAGTGCCATTTCCACTGCTAAGCCACCTAGAGCTCTGAGGACCCTCAGTCAGAATGCTTTTCATAGACTATACAGGGAGTGCAGAATTATTAGGCAAATGAGTATTTTGTCCACATCATCCTCTTCATGCATGTTGTCTTACTCCAAGCTGTATAGGCTCGAAAGCCTACTACCAATTAAGCATATTAGGTGATGTGCATCTCTGTAATGAGAAGGGGTGTGGTCTAATGACATCAACACCCTATATCAGGTGTGCATAATTATTAGGCAACGTCCTTTCCTTTGGCAAAATGGGTCAAAAGAAGGACTTGACAGGCTCAGAAAAGTCAAAAATAGTGAGATATCTTGCAGAGGGATGCAGCAGTCTCAAAATTGCAAAGCTTCTGAAGCGTGATCATCGAACAATCAAGCGTTTCATTCAAAATAGTCAACAGGGTCGCAAGAAGCGTGTGGAAAAACCAAGGCGCAAAATAACTGCCCATGAACTGAGAAAAGTCAAGCGTGCAGCTGCCAAGATGCCACTTGCCACCAGTTTGGCCATATTTCAGAGCTGCAACATCACTGGAGTGCCCAAAAGCACAAGGTGTGCAATACTCAGAGACATGGCCAAGGTAAGAAAAGCTGAAAGACGACCACCACTGAACAAGACACACAAGCTGAAACGTCAAGACTGGGCCAAGAAATATCTCAAGACTGGTTTTTCTAAGGTTTTATGGACTGATGAAATGAGAGTGAGTCTTGATGGACCAGATGGATGGGCCCGTGGCTGGATTGGTAAAGGGCAGAGAGCTCCAGTCCCACTCAGACGCCAGCAAGGTGGAGGTGGAGTACTGGTTTGGGCTGGTATCATCAAAGATGAGCTTGTGGGGCCTTTTCGGGTTGAGGATGGAGTCAAGCTCAACTCCCAGTCCTACTGCCAGTTTCTGGAAGACACCTTCTTCAAGCAGTGGTACAGGAAGAAGTCTGCATCCTTCAAGAAAAACATGATTTTCATGCAGGACAATGCTCCATCACACGCGTCCAAGTACTCCACAGCGTGGCTGGCAAGAAAGGGTATAAAAGAAGAAAAACTAATGACATGGCCTCCTTGTTCACCTGATCTGAACCCCATTGAGAACCTGTGGTCCATCATCAAATGTGAGATTTACAAGGAGGGAAAACAGTACACCTCTCTGAACAGTGTCTGGGAGGCTGTGGTTGCTGCTGCACGCAATGTTGATGGTGAACAGATCAAAACACTGACAGAATCCATGGATGGCAGGCTTTTGAGTGTCCTTGCAAAGAAAGGTGGCTATATTGGTCGCTGA